AGACTACAGGGCCTGGTGGGGGCAGAGCAGTGGACAAGCAGCTGGCCCTTGAGGGGACTGAATAACTACTCACATGTCATCCTAGACTGTGCACCAGCCCTAGCAGCCTCCAGCACCATAGCCTCAGCCTCTCAGATAGAGTCCCTAGCATCCAGAGGCCTGATAGGGCACCTGTAGGTCAACAGTGGGGCCAGAAACATGAGACCAGCCACCAGTGGCCAGTGCTTGCTTCTCATGCTGTGTGACATCAGTTGCAGGGCCTGCCCAACCCACAAGGAAGCTGACAGCAGGAAGGTCCAGAAGCTTCCCTTTCTCTTTGCTTCCTGGAATGGAAGTTGTGATTTTCCCCAGTGACATTTCCACAAGTGTCCTATAGGAGGGCACACAGCTGTGCCAACAGCAGAGACTGAAGACGGCCTGGAGTAGAGTGAGACTGGACAGGGTGGGAGAGCACCACCAAATGTCTGAAGCAGGAACCAGGTCATCCCTTCCCCAGAGTGTTCACAAAAGCACACATGCACATACACATACACACAAATGTGTACGTGTGTCCAGAGAGGACACAGGAACTAGAGACACACATGCAAAGCTTATTCCAGACCTTTCAGCCTGTCTCTTTACTCAGGCTGTCCCCAAAGGGGACCTTCAGCTGCAGTACCCACTGCAACTGAGTTTCAGGTTGTTGTGTTTGAGGGAGATGAACTTTGACATAATCAGGGAGTCCTTTCTGGGTCCTTTTGGGCTTCCTTTTCAGGTGACATGGGGGCATGGGCTATTAGTCAGTGTGATTGTGGGGGCTGGCAGAGTCTTTTCTTACCTTCTATATGTCTTCCTCCCAAAGGCCTGAGTGGAAGCTCCCTCAGAGACTTAGCAGGCAGGGTCTCTGCCTGGGAACTCTGGCAGCCTGGCAGAACATAACTCCTCACTTCCATCCGTGGGGCCGTGGACAAGCTCCTTGCCTCCCTGAAACCTAATTCCACACCTGCACAGATAAGATGACTACTACCTTCATAGTGCCTGGAGATAGTCACACCAGTCTAGGGTACAACTGAGACACTCAGTTGAATCTTGCCAGCCCTGTGCCTGGTAGAAGTCACTGAGTTTGGGCTACCAACACCACAGGATGTGCACTTGCCCTGGTGGTCCCAGAAAAGCCAGAATCTAGACTTGGCATTGCCTTACCAGCTAGGAGCCTTGAACATGTCACTGGCCCCCTCTGGCTACAGCTGCCTCCATCTCAAAGGAGCTTATCAACTCAAGGGTTAGATGAGATAAGAGCCATAAGAAGGCTCTTGCAAGTAACAAGCCTGTGCCCCTCTGAGAAATGACAGAGGACAGGATACCCAGTCTTTTGGCATCCAGATGGGCTGAGCTCTGTATGTCCCTACAGAGGGACATTGAGTAGTTTGAGAACCCTCTTCGGAGCCCATCAGGCCCCTGGCTGCTGGTGATGGGAATGTTCCTTTGAGGGGAAGCTAGGTCCCTTTGAAACTGCCAGTCTACACTAGAGGGGCAAAAGGCGACCTGCTTTCAAAGCGGCTCCTCTGGCCCTTAATTACCCTCTGTCACCCATAGGTGGAATTTCCACTCAGTTAGCTGAAGAAAGGCACCCACGCCGCTGGCTGCCACATGCCAGTGAGGACTGGGCTTCCCTGGCGCCTCTGCAGCTGCTAGAGCCTCAGTGGCAGCCGGCTCGGTTTCTGATTTTAATGATTTCCTGAATTCATTCCATTTCCTACCTCGGGGAAAGGAGGAGAGGTGATCCTCTTGGAAATTCACATAATTGCTTTTATTTGATTTTTATTAAAATGCATTCAGGAATAATGTGATTGCCCCCGTTATTCCGCCGTTCATCAATCCTGCTCAGGGAATCTGGTGAAAAAAAGCAATGGGTGCAGGAGCCTCCAGGGCGTGCAAGGTGTGATGAGGGCACCTCTTAGTGGCTTGGGGAGTCACAGTCCACCTCTGGCTCTTCCTTTACACACACACACACACACACACACACACACACACACACACACACACACACACACACGGCTCCTGCTGCATAATATATTCTACACATCCTCCAACCTCAGCCCACTCCTGCTCCCTCCCCGCCCACCTTGGAGACACAGGGACTCAGAGGTGAGGTCTATGGTGGGAGACCTGCTGCCTTCCCTTGCCCATGCCCCAGTTCTCTGCACTTTGACCTGTTTCCAGCATAACCTTTAGCTTTGGGCTCTTAGCGTACAGGGTTAAGAAACCAGTGTCTTTGCCGGGCATTGGTAGCACACACACCTTTAATCCCAGCACTTGGGAGGCAGAGGCAGGAGGATCTCTGTGAGTTCAAGGCCAGCCTGGTCTACAAAATGAGTTCCAAGACAGCCAGAGCTGTTACACAAAAAAACCCTGTCTTGAAAACTAAAAAAAAAAAAAAAAAAAAAAAAAAAAGAAAGAAAGAAAGAAAAGAAAAGAAACCAGTATAACCAGTATTTCCCTCAGACCAAGTACAGTCCTTATCTACTTGGCACAGTTAGAATATGGGCAGATTGCTTTGCCTTTCCCAGCCTCTGTTTGCTGATGAGGCTAGTGGAATACAGCCCAGTGCTGTGGTGGTGCCCTCCTGTCATCCCAGCACTAGGAAGCCTGAGGCAGGAGGAGCTCCAGTTCAGTGCCTGCCACAAAGACCGGTTAATGGGAACATGAAGACTTGCCTTAGCATAGAGACAAAACGGATTGAGCAGGTAGCAAGTGCCATGGTGTGGACTACCACGGATGCCCACCAAGGTGGATTGGTACCACGTGGCCTTGCCTCACAGGAGTGGATGGGTTCCATTCACCCAACCTTGGCTGTTTGCTAAAGGTGGTCTGCTCCTGCTGGGGGAAGCTGTGCAGAAAATCAGGGAGCGTGAGGGTAGACACTCACTTTCAGAGCTCCTTTTGTGGGTCAGGGGGTGGGGGGCTTATTTCTGCAAAAAGCCTGTCTTCACTTGAAAAAAGTGCAATGACGTTCACGTAGCTTACTGAGTTTTCACTGTTTCTGTTGATCTTGGTGCAAGTCATTTGGCAATGGCCACAGCTAGGGAATTTAGAGAATGGAGAGAGTGGATTTTGAATTTATGTTATTGGGAACTCTGGTGCTTACCACCAGCTAAGCATTTGATGTGGTATCTGAGGCTCACTCTGCACCATTCCTGCCACTGGGATGTTGTTACTATTGTTCTCTGTGGACCAGACTACATGCCTCCCAGATCCTTGAGAGCACTCCCACTGAATCATGGGCTCCTGCCCCAGAGCCTGCATGGCCCTCTGACCATATGCTTTACAGTCCCAGGAGAGGTCCGCTGCTCTCTCCAATCAAGACAGCAGTCTGTCCAGGAGGGGAGGTCCTGTCCTTTCATGGGGAGGGTCAGGCAGTGGGCTGGGAAGGACCTTTAGAGTCTCAGTAAAAGAAATCAAGGCCAGAGTTTGAGAAAGCCACTACCAGTCATAGCGGCCTCCGCCTGGGTTTGTCCTGGGATGGCGAGTGTTCATTTCTTAGCTGGGCTGGTTTTGGCTTAAGCCACTGTGCTGGGAACTGCATAGCAAGGAATTGTCCCCCCTGCTCAACTGCACCCCTTCAAAATTCTGATACTATAGATGGCCCATGTACACCTCTGGAGGATAGGTAACCCAGAGGGACAGCAACAGTCCCCAAGGCCATGAAAAGGTCAGCTGAGGAGCTGAACAAAGAACACTAGCCACCACAGTCTCTGGTTGGTCCCGTGCCTATTCCCATCTCTCCTCTCGGAGTGGCCCAGCCTAGGAGCAGGAGCAAACCCAGACCCTGTAGATGACAACACTGACTGAAATTGGGAGGCTTGTCCAACCTCAGTTTCCCTTCGATAACCTGGAGGCCAAGCCCAGGCAGGGCAGGCACCCCAGAAACCAGTTCTGGGCCAGGGATTCTTTAGAGCCTGGGACCTGGGACTTGGATGTGCTGCTCGATGGGTAGCACCTGACCAGCAGTTATCCCAGAAGCCCAGAGGTCAGTGGACTGAGTTGTCATTGTGCCCTTGGCCTCCAAGCCTTGCTCCTGCACCTCAGCCTGTGCATGCTGCACCTTAGCCTTCTGGCTACACCCCAGCCTTGTTCAGCATGCGGCTTCTTTATCAGATCTCCGTTTTCGTTTCTCTCTGTGGCAGCCTCAGCCTGGCCCCCGCCCCCACCCCATGGCCCTTTCCTCTCTGAAGTGATGTGCCTTTTCCTGCCACCCCCGTGTGCAGCGCACAGGAGATGTTTGCTCCTTGTTGCTTTCAGAATGCTTCCTTTTGGTGGTGGAGGTGGCCTACTGACTGGGCTCCAGAGCCCTGCTGTGTGATGGTGACCTGTGAGGGGCGGCTGAGCCGAATGGAATTTGGGGCGACTGTGGGCTGTATCCACAACCTCGAGGCCTCTGGAGCCCATGGACTGGTGCAGGTTCTGGAGTACTACAATCAATTCATGCTCCTAAGGAAGCTTGTTGGTCAGAGGTTGCCAGTTTGTTCCCGCTGCAGGGAGCTGAGCCAGAAGGCAGCGGAGGTCCAAGCTGCTGAACCTCTGGTCTAGTCCCTACCCAGAGTAGAGGGCTATGGTAACCTTCCCACCCTAACTCGCCCTTCTTTACCTGTCCCCGAAGCACAGGGACGACAATAGAATTAAGCAACGCAGCTTCCCAAAGCTCCTGTGTCAAGCTCTCAGGCGCCAGTGAACTTTAGGAGCTGAATTAGAATTTCATGTCCACCTTCTGGGTGGCCTTAAGCCAAGTGGCCCGGCCTCCCTGAGTACCACAAGGCCTAGCTAGTAAATGAGAAACATGGACGAGACTCTAGCAGCCAGTAGACTTTGGAGCGAGGATGCAGGAGGCTAGAGGCCTTGTGTGCTTAACAAGAGCCTGGGGAAGCTTTAGTGGTCAGCCAGGTAGGGGCAAACAGCAGAGGTGATTGACACAGGGAGCTCTGAAGGCCAGTGAGCATATGAGTCCTGTGATCTTGTTCCAGAAAGATCCTGGAGGCAGCGGGACGGAGGAGGACAGACGGACGGCCACCGATGGGATTTCAATTAGAAAAATTCAGTGACCCTCACCAAGAGCAAGAACCATAGATGTTCTCTGCTGCCCACCTGGGACAGAATTTCCAGACTTTGGCCTCCTCCAGCAGGCAGGTAAGAGATGGGAACTCTCCTTTCCTCCAGTCTGGGGCATCCCTGGCATTCCTGGAGAGTGTTGGCACAGCAGCCCCCCAGGACCTGAGCATCTACTTTTCATCAATAACGTGTTTTGAGCCCCTTCAGTGCCCCCCCACACCCCAGGCCTCATTCTCTGCAGCCCTTCTCCTGGAGCAGGACCTGGCAATGTGCTTCTAGACCCCTTTTGTGGTGATATTGTGTTCCCCAAAATATTGTGCACCCTAATAAACTTATCTGGGGTCAGAGAACAGAACAGCCACTAGATATAGAGGCCAGAAAATGGTGGCACATACGCCTTTAATCCTAGCATTCCAAAGGCAGAGATCCGTCTGGATCTCTGTGAGTTCAAAGCCACACTGGAAACAGCCAGGCATGGTGACTCATGCCTTTAATCCCAGGAAGTGATGGCAGAAAGGTATATAAGGCGTAAGGACCAGGAACTAGAGCTGGTTAAGCTTTCAGGCTTTCGAAAAGCAGTTCAGCTGAGATCCATTCTCATGAGGACTCAGAGGCTTCCAGTCTGAGGAAACAGGATCAGCTGAGGAATTGTCGAGGTGAGGAAGCTGTGGCTTGTTCTGTTTCTCTGATTATTCAGCGTTCACCCCAATACCTGGCTCTGGGTTTGATTTTATTAATAAGGCCATTTAAGATTCATGCTACACCCTTTTGCCTTCACACTGGGCTAGGACCTCAGGCAGGGCGGTTATCTCCAGTATTCTTGCAGATAAACGGACCTCCATGGCCTGGGGGGGCTCTGGACATGACCCTTCCATTAGAGTTGCTAAGGAGGCAGAAATAAAACCACTATGTCCCCTGGTTTTCCATCTTGGTAGGAGGAGGGTATGTGACTGGGACTACCTTTTCTTTAGCAAGCTTTGATTTTTTTTTTTTAAATTATTGCATTTATGTATTTATTTGATTTTTATGGGAGGAGCAGCATGTGCCACTGCCCAGTGTAGAGGCCACAGGACAAGCCGCAGGAGTCCCTTCGCAGTGTGAGTCCCTAGGATTGAACTCAGCTCATCAAGTTTGGCAGCAAGCATCTTTATACACTGAACTACCTTGCAGCCCCACTCAGCAAGCTTCTTCTTTAGACAAAGGCGGCTTTGTCTTTCACAGTCCACTGGGGCCATTGCACCCATTTCCCAGATAGACAAACCAGGGCCTAGGGCAGGAACTCAGTCTTCCTTCATGGTTTCTGATCTGCACAGGAGGAAGGAAGTTGTTCTTTTCTATCCCTGGGTCCGCTTTTGCAGCACTTGGGTTGCCCCCGCCCCGGCCCCCCATGCTGCTCAGGTCTCATAATAAAAATGCTTTTTCAATGTGTTCTAATTTTAACTGTCATTAGGACCTGCATCCCCTACAAGGCTGGCAGTCACACACCCACAGCACGATCCAGCTTCTTTTTCTCTCTTGGCAATAGAACTTCTGTGGAACAGGAACGAGTACAAATGCCTTGAGCACCCTGCATTGCTGTGCATGCTTCTCTATGATTCTTCTGCTCTCTAGAACTCTCCATCATCTCTTGGAGGGTCTGCTGTGGTGGTATTGTGTTCCCCAAAATATTGTGTACTCTAATAAACTTATCTGGGGTCAGAGAACAGAAAAGCCACTAGATACTTAGGATAGGCAGTGGTAGCACACGCCTTTAATCCTAGCATTCTAGAGGCAGAAATCCATCTGTTCAAGATTACAGCCAAGCATGGTGACTCACGCCTTTAATCCCAGGGAGTGATGACTGAAAGCAGAAAGGTATATAAGGTGTGAAGACCAGAAACTTGAAGCATTTGGCTGGTTAAGCATTTGGCTGGTTAAGCTTTCAGGCTTTTGAGCAGCAGTTCAGCTGAGATTCATTCTGGATGAGGACTTAGAGGCATCCAGTCTGAGGAAACAGGATCAGCTGAGGAAGTGGCAAGGTGAGGTGGCTGTGGCTTATTCTGCTTCTCTGATCTTCCAGAGTTCACCCCAATAACTGGCCTCAGGTTTGATTTTATTAATAAGAACTTTTAAGATTCCTGCTACAGTCTGCCTTGAGGGCTGGCCAGAGCCGAAGGATACAGATATCGGGCGATTAGATGCTTCTTGTGTGAGCCACCCCTGGGCAGCCCCATCCTGCATGGTTCTCTGTCCTCCAAGCAGCTCCACACATAACACAGAGTGGGATTTCACCAATCCACTTACTGCCCGCCTGCCCTGTGGGGGAAATGGGTCAGTGCAGGAGGCCACCTGCAGATAGGAACCAGGCTGAGTGTCATACTCACACTCAAAAAGCCTCAGACTTTGGATTTTCAGATTAGGGAGGCTCAGTTTGTATAGACTGTTTCCTGTAGAATGGGGTCCAAACTACCTCCCTCCATCCCTCTCTTCCTCCCTCCCTCCCTCCCTTCCTTCCTTCCTTCCTTCCATCTTCCTCCCCTCCTCTACCCTACTCTCCTTTCTTCCTCCCTCCCTTCCTCCCTCCCTCCCTCCTTCCCTTTCTTCCTTCTTTCCTTCCTTTCTCCCTCCTTCCCTCCCTCCATTCCTTCCTTCCATCTTCCTCCCCTCCTCTACCCTACTCTCCTTCCTCCCTCCCTCCCTTCCTCCTCTCTTCTTTTCCTTTCTTGGTGGAGCTTATGTAGCCCAGGCTGGCCTCAAACTCAAGCTCCTCCCCCTTAAGCCTCTTAGGTTCTGGGTTACAAGCCTGTGCCAGCACACCTCCAGGCTTTGTGTCTCTCTGCTTTGGGGCCTGAAGGCTATAGTGCAGAACAACCTCACACCTGCCAAGAACCAGAAGCTACCCCCCTCCCCTTCATCCCCAGGACTTGTCAAGTCCCAGAGAGCTCCTGAGGGCTGGGAGTGGGAGAGGCCCGCACAGGGCAGAAAACAGATGCCCGGCCCAGGCTTGCAATGTGATCTGGCCTTTCTCACGACTGTGAGGGTGGGTCTGGTGCTTGGCTCTGACCTTGACCCACTGAAGCAGGATGCCATAAGACGCCAGGGGCCACACTATCACAGGCCGTGGGTCCTCAGTGGTGGTTAGAACAGACTGGATGGCACAGACCCTGCCTATGCTTCCTGGGCCCCGGGAAGGGAGACCGAGGTGTGAGAGCTTGATAGTGATGGAGCCAGGGTGGCCAGAGTTGAGTCTCTTGGAAGGAAACTCAAGAGTGTGGTGTTTTATTTTATATCTTTTAGCTATTTTGAGACAGAGTCGTACTAAATAACTCTGGAACTCACTATGTAGACCAGGCTGGTCTCCCATTCACAGAGATCCTCCTGCCTCTGCTCCCGATTGCTGGGATTAAAGGCGTGCGCCACTCCACCAGGTTTGATGAGTATGATATTTTAAGTAGGGAATGTGGCTGATTGGTGGTGAAGTGCTCTTGGGCTCCCTAGCACTGTGGCAGTAAATAATGTGATGTTTCATGTACCTGCAAATTGTAGTCCAGCTCCATGCCCTTAGCTGTAGTACTCTAAGCCTTATGTGACAGATGGGAAAACTTAGCCAGTCCTGTCCCTGTCGTGAGCGATGGTGGGTGTCAGGCAGGGAGAATGAGATACCTCTGACCTTCACCTACAGTCTCCGTGTTCTTGGGCTGTCACGGGGCCTGTCACGGAGGTGTCCTGAGCGCCTGGGTTTCCTCCCATATGAAATGAGAAGCCTGATATTGGCTGGTTCTGACACTTAAGGAAACTGGTGCTTACTGGATAGATCTAGGGGGTCAGCCCCGGGCTAAATGCTTGGGGAAGCATTTTTCCTATGGATCCCTTATCCCAGAGTTGAGATTCGACTCAGAGCCAAGTGCAAAGTAAATGTTTTCTAGTTTGGTCCTTGATTCAATTTCTCTTTGTGGCTCTCTGGTCTGAAAGTCTAGGGGTGCAGTTACAGTGCCTCCCTGGAGGAGTTAGGTAGGAGAACAGGTGGAATCCCTGGCCTGTGAAAGGAGGGGTCAAGGTCGTGCTGTGCATGTACCTGATCTGTCTGGGTTCCCTGGGTACCAGCAGCAAGCGCTGGAGCTCAACTCAGCCAAGCCCAGACATCATTTGGGCTTGCCTGGTGCCCTAGGCCTCCTTCCACATCCTTGATCCATCTCACCCTGTACGGCTCCCTGCCTGTCTGCTTCATGATCGTACATCCTGAACAAGCTGCTGACCTCTGCACCCGGCATGTCCCGCCTGCTTGTTCTTATCTACCTCTGCAGGGCCAGCACACCTATCTCCTCTGCTGGATTTCCCAGGTGACCAGCTATTATCCCCTCCTGTAGGTGACCCTGTCATGACCCATCCAGGGTCATGCCCCCACAGAGCCCTGTGCCGACTCTTTTGACCTTGTATTTCCAGTGACTTTTTTTTCCAAGACCAGCCTAGGAGTAGGGCCATAGCCAGACTTTGGACCCACAGAGAAAGATCCCACCTGCTTGCTCGGCCGCCAAGTGATGCAATTTCACTTGAGAGTAGGTATGTAAATGTCTTGTTAGAACAGGGGACAAGGAGACTGATCTCGGGCAGGTGGCTCTGTTATAAGGCATGGAGCTCCCAGGGGCTTGGGAACTGCTGTTCTCTTGGGAAGTACTCAGAGGCCCTTGTGCCTGCTGTCTAGATAGGAACTTAACCATCCAGTCTGGAGTCTCCAACTCTATCAGTCCCCCCCTCCTCCAAGGTAGTGTGTGTGTGTGTGTGTGTGTGTGTGTGTGTGTGTGTGTGTATGTGTGTGTGTGTGTGTGTGTGTGTGTGTGTGTGTGTGTGTGTGTGCACTGGAAGGAGGAGGAGTCTCTGTTTCCATTTATGTCTAGGTAGCAGTCCTCATGCTTCAGATAAGCCCCAAGCAGGGTCACATGGAAACTGGGATTGGGGATTGGGGCAACCTGCTTCATCATCAGCCCTAGCACCAACCAGGTCAAAACTTGTTCATCTCCTCAGATTAGGTAAGACTGGGCACATTCAGGATCACGTGGCCCTAGACCCCTGGCTGCCTCTGACCTGACCTCCTCACACTT